AATGAGGCGTGAAATACATGTAGGTAAAAAGGGACGAGATCAAGATTACGGTTGATGAAATAACCGATTCACCATCGAGAAAATAATGGAGATGACCGAATATCTGCAAGCTGCTCAATGTGCTGCATCACAAGAACGCGACAAGATGGTTGGGGGATTACTATGGATTTGGTGACAGGCCAGGGTAACTTAAATCCGGGTACACTGGAAATGTGTCTCGCAAGAAGGCTTACTGGGAGAATTGTCGGAAAAGGCATTAACGCCTTTGAGGGCTGGAAAAGTACCTGTTCATCTTGCTTACAGGGCCGCTCGAGATATCCATCGAGCAGGCAGCACGCTAATAGAAACATTAGATACTTTCTGGCGTATGCTAAACTGCTGCGCATGGTAGGTGAGCATGAATTTATCAGAACACAACAAGGCATAGGATCTGACTCTGAGAAGACGAGTAGAGCGTCAGCGCCCCTGCACCGTGCTGCCTTCGTCTAGCGACCCAGGAGGAGATGAATGAGACTGGTGGCGTGTTTCTTGAAAAGTGCAATTCGACCGCCTGAAAGGCTGAACCAGAACAAGACTCGGCTATGGCGGGACTGCTAATAAGAGAGTATCTTAGACATTACCCTTTTCATGTTCAGGGAGTCCTGCTGGATTAGTTAGCTAATCTGACATAACGGAACGCAACCAGTTGCCCTTTACCCCTTTTCCCCTTTTCTTAAGGTCAGGGTTAGGGTTGGCTTCAGGGATTGCCAAACCCATAAGCTCGAATGATGCATCTCCCAGATTGACCCAAACGTGATTGCTTCGTGAAGCTATGGTTTTACTATCCCGGGCTGTTGGGCAAGCTTCCAGTTTGCTCTTCCATGTGGTTACTTTCCTGTCCTGTCGGGGTCAACCGGGAGAATATTGCACCGGATGGCAGTGCTGTATAGAGACTAGCGCTGGCCGTCGCCCCAGCAATATTCACATCTGACTAAGGAGTCCAAGGGTATGTATTCCATATCTAATTTGGCGTCCCTGAGCACCAAACAGGAAAAACACAATACAGACATCGAGAAATGTGGCCCACCTCCTTCACGTTGCCTTCGCTATCATCAACACGGTGCAAGGGCTGTGATCACCCCCGGCCAAAGTACAATGGTGCCTACGGCTCTGTGCGTTCGAGCCTGGGCGCCATGCTGTCAAATGCCCAGGCCGGCTGCGTCCCCTGCTCAATCTTCTCAGACGGCATCCTCACGTTCTTGGCGGACAACGGTGAGGTTCCGCGAGACGATGTCAACGAGCTGCGGATCGACTTCAACCTGACCGGGAACGGGCCCAGCTTGGAGCTCATGCTCTTGAACACGCCAATAAAGCTCTGCTTCTTTTGCTCTGAGCGTGAGTTAGGCAGTGCATGTCAATATTGGCTTGTATCTTGACTGATGTGCCTTGTCATGGACGGACCAGCTACCCCGTGGCTATCAGAGACCCTGCCAGATCTACCGGTTGGATACGAAATTCCCAGAGCGACCTCTTCTCCGGAGACCCTGTCCTGGGCTGTCCATCAGCTCCAGCACTGCAAGCAGTTCCACAAGTCATGCAGCAGCACCTCAGCCAAATCTCCCCTTCCAACGAGGGTGCTCGACGTGTTTGCCTGGGACTCGGGAGATGGCGGCGTCCGACTCTACGAATCCCGCGGCGAAACAGCTCCCTACGCGAGCTTGAGTCACTGCTGGGGGAAGAAGCCCTTTCTGCGCACCCTCTCCTTCAGCCTTGCCGCGCACAAGAACGAGATCATCTGGGCGCGGCTCCCCCCGTCCTTCCAAGACGCAATCTCCTTCACCCGCAAGCTGGGCATCCGGTATCTGTGGATCGACAGCCTGTGCATCGTGCAGGACGACACGCACGACTGGCGCCTCGAGGCCGCCAACATGGCCTCCATCTACCAGAACTCGGCCATCGTCATCTCGGCGGCGAAATCCCAGGGCGCGTACGGCGGGCTGTACGCCGAGTTCCCGTCCAAACACAAAACCCACACCATCCAATTCTCTCCTGACTCAACCGCAGCTCCGGAAACCATTCATGTCCGCCATGCCCTGACCCACAGCCAGCGCCTGCTCTCCCCCTACCACGCGCCCCCTTCGACCCTGCCCATTTTCACGCGCGGCTGGATTTTGCAGGAGCGCTTCCTGTCCCCGCGCACGCTGCACTTTGGGCCCGAGGAGCTGTCGTGGGAATGCGTCGAGCGGACGGCATGCCAGTGCAGCGGGCCCAGCATCTCCTCTTCCTCTTCCTCCTCTTCCTCTTCCTCCTCTTCCTCTTCCTCCTCTTCCTCCTCCTCCTCCTCCTCTACCCCCTCTTCTTCAAATTCAACTCCCGCCCTACAACCTCAACCTACTACCAGTAACCCACCGAGGTGGTACACGTACCTAACCTCCCGCTGCGCCCGTCCAAAACACTACTACAGCCCCACAACCTGGCACAGCATGACCCCTGAAGAACTGGCGGCATGCTGGCGGCGGCTAGTCGAGGACTACACCCGCCTGCGGCTAACATACGACAAGGACGTCTTTCCCGCAGTAGCGGGCATGGCGCAGGCCATGTCCCACGTTCGAAATAAAACCCAAACCCAACCAGACTCAGCCGGGCCCGGGGCGCAGGAGCAGTATCTAGCCGGCCTGTGGCGGAGCAGCTTGTTGCCAGACTTGCTCTGGCACGTCGAGTTGCCGCCTTCGACCAGTACCAACACCACCGACGTCACCGAGGAGGATGACTCTTACTCTTGGGCGTGGCCGTCACGTCCAGAGAAATGGCGCGCCCCCTCATGGTCCTGGGCCGCGGTCAAGGCTCCCGTCGAATTCCTCAACACAACAGAGCCAGCTGGTTTCGAGGCTGAGTGTGAGGTGATAGACGTGAAATGTGAGCCGGCAGGGCCTGATCCGCGAGGGGAGCTGCTCGAAGGCGGGAGTTACCTCATTCTCAAGGGCAGGCTGGTGCCGGCCGTCCTACGGCGTCGACGACCCAAAGTTTCCCCGGCTGGGGGACCCAATAATGAAAACAGGCCTCCCGAACCGTGGAACCTGCTCGACCTGGACATCATGGACGGGCACATGAAGAATATCTGGGCCGACGACGGTTGCGAGGATCTCCTAGGACATGATGGACTGAACAGCGGGCGGGTGTACTGCCTGCTGATCGGACGCAAGTTGCCGAGCAAGGAGTCGGTTTTCCTCCTCCTCGTCCGAGTCGAGGACAGCAAGTTGAACAACGACAGCGAACTGAACCAAAAACCCCTTATTTATCGACGAATCGGTCTGCTTGAGATCCTCGGCGGCCCGCCCAGCCCGGTGTCCTGGGGTTGGCTGCACAATCTCCGCGATAAGGGCGAGGATGCTGTGGTCAGGATGATCTAGGCGGTCTTGCACTGCCGCACCCAGATCCAATAGCCCCGGCCGGGGTAAGAATACAAAATGATTACCTATCCTCGCTAATGATTGCTATACCGCTGCTGCCAGAAGACAACTAGCCAACCGCCATCCGTCTACCCTATCCTATAACCCGAACACCGTGATAGCAGGCCTACCCAGCCTACTCCTCTCATGTATATAAACATATGCACAATCACCCGTCCAAGACTACCGCTAGACCAACCCAACCAACAAAGCAACAGGATTATTCCAAACAGCCATCCGTTAAACTCACCTATATACTCCCCCCATCAACGACCTCCCTCCCTAGGATCTCCACCTCTCCGCTCTCGGCTGTGCGCCTCCTCTCTACCACCCACCTGTTCCCACCGCTCTCCTCGTCTTTAACATACGAGATGCGATCCGTAGACCCCTTATGGCGATGTCCCTTCCCGGGTGCACGGTGAGCCTGCGGAGAAGGCGGTGCAGAAGCCACCAGTCCATCCGCCGGTGATGACTCCACTCTTCCAGCCGGGCTCGTCGCCCTTCGGACCGGCAACGCAGGCGCTAGCTCTCCCACGGGGCCGCCCTCAGGAGACAAAGCCTCCTCGTCGCCTTCCAAGACAGGCGAACAAGCACTGCCACCCAGAAGCGCCTGATCACCCTGTCCCGGAGACGGCACGGGAGAGAAGAGCGAGCGAGCCGGCGGCCTGAGCGGTAGCGGTGAGACGACAGCGCCGTTCATGCCATGCTGCTGCTGTGCACCACTGCCGCTACCATGTAGCGGCGGCACCATCCCCATCGCCAACCCGGCTGCTGCCAAGGTGGGACTCGCCGCCCCGCTGCCGCTGCCGGCCCCGCCGTCGGCACCGCCGCCAGCCCACAATGACACAAACGCTGAATTGGCGCGCACATGGCCGCCGCTTAGATAGCCATAAGGCGATCCGCTGCTGGCAGCAGCGCCATCAAGAGGATTCACGGCCCTCTCGCTCCTGGGACTGCCTTCTCGCGAACTACCCTGGGACCCACCCCCTCCCCACGCGCGAGACCTTAGCTTCATCAAGGCCTCCAGGCTCATGTTCTTGTCCTCGCCCTCCCCTTCCTCGGAAAGCAGACTCGCCAGCTGCGCTAACCCGGGACTGGTCATGGAGTTCCTCCCGCCCGCGTCAGCACCACTACCAACGGGAGGCATGGTAAAGGACATGACCGAGTTCCGGTTGGAGTACTCTGACCGCTCAGTAATCGGCGTCAGGTTCGGCTCGCGGCAAACCACCCTGCCACTGGCGCTCCTCCCGACCCCGGCAGGGCCAAAATAGCCGCCATTGGCGTACTGGTACAGATTCTCGGCGCTGAGGATGCTGCTGCTGCTATTCGGGGTTGAGGAGGACGGTGTGTGATAGGGCTGATGTGCGGCGGACGGGGGGATGGGTAGTGGGGCCGAGTAGAAGCCGAACTCTTGGCCGTAGAAGCCATCCGTATCATTGGCCAAGGCGCTGGCGTTGGCCTCGGCTATGATAGCTTCGTCGTCAAAGTCGAAGTCGTCTTCGAAACTGGTGGGGTTGAAGTCGTCGGTTTCATAATCGTTTAGATCTTCAAGGTAGGGATCCATAGAAGACTCGGCAGATTCCTGAGCCTGCGCGCCAGGGAAAGCATCGTCGTCTGGGACTGGCGGGGATGAAGTTCTTCGGAATTTTCCTGAGGCCGCCGCCTTTTGTGCGGCTTCTGCGAGAGCGGCTTGATAGGCAAGGTCCTGCACGGCTATAGGCACCACGGCTCCGGCGTTTAGATTTAAAGGAGCTGGTTTCAGAGACTGAGATTGCTCTGCCTCTTTCACCTGTTGAGCTGGTGGCTGCTGCAGGCCTGTGCTAAGTGACGTGTAGCCCGTGGATTCGGTCACTGCGGACTGCCCTGACAAGTCTGATGTCACATCGGAATCGCGCTTGGAGGGTTGTTGCTGCTGCTGGGAGACTTTCATCGCTTCCTTCGCCTGGGCAAATGCGCCAGGTATTGGGCGCCCGAACCGATCCGTATCGTCGTTGTCAAAGATAGATTCATCAAAGACAGTCCCGTCGTGGTCAAACTCCAGCTCATTCGCCAGGCCATCGTCAAAGTAGAGATCGTCGTTGCTAGTTTGGCGCATCGAGCCTAGGTTTGCCTCGCCAGGCAGATCGCTAGTGCCAAGTGCCGCTTCTGCGGGTGTGGGTGCGTCTGAACCTCGAACGCCAAGACCTTGGAGGTCCATTTCTATCTTAGGTGGCACAGACGGAACAGGGAACATGGGAGACTCCGCCGACGGTAACTCGGGGGTGGTATCTTTGGTCATGGCAAAACCAATCACCTTGCCGTTTGCATCCCGGGGGGTTGCCAGCATGGCTGGCGTATTTGGACTGGCTAGTGACGATGCAGGGTTCGAGCGCTGGAACACAAATCCAGCAAAATTCTCCTGGTCGTTGTCCGGGTCCAGCGCCGCTTCCGGGTCTTCTTCATCCTCATAGTCAGCGTTGATACCTGGGATCATCTCCTCGATCCCACCGTCATCCATCATAGCATCGTAGTCAAAGGACCCTTCGTCGAAATCGTCATATCGTGAGTCTCGATAGCCGGCGGGATCATCCGTTTTCTTTTCCTGCGCCCGCTGCCGGTGGCGTTCTTCCAGCAGCTTCTCCTGCTTGGCAGCGCCGATCATATCGAAGCTAAACCTTGAAGACGTGCTCTTCATATGCTTCGGGACGGCAGAAGCCACCGAATCCCGCCTCGATGCCTGAGAGAGAGACACCTTTCGAGATGCCGTCGTCCTCACGGAAGCTGAGGTGGCAGGTTGCGATACTGCTGTGGATGTAGTGCTTGAGGCAGCAGATGATAACCTGCTACGAAGAGCTGCCGGCTCGTCCTTTGGTGGGACATCAGGCAAAGGATGCTCGGGCAAGGCCTTCTCTAACGACAACTTTCTTGACTTGTCTACCTCGGGCACCGGGCCGCTCTCGCCGTCGCTGTGTGCGGTCCCGCCCACGGGATGGTTAACGGGCTCCGCTGAGATCGGTTTGCTGGAACCGTCTTGGGGTGGTGAGGTTATCGGCTCGACGCGCGCCGCCGAGATACCTGCCGAAGCCCCGGCATCGGACTTTAGTGCTAACACGGACTCGGCATTGGTTGTCTTTTTCGGTCGTGGGGCGCTAAAGTCGTGGACCCTCGTGCCCCTGATGCGGGGATCGTAGCTAGGTGTTGTCGTGAAGGGGAAAGGCTGGGTTTCCGGCGCGGCGTGACCTGTTTTCCTCCGCATCAAAAGAGATGACATGGGGTTCTTCAGAAATGGTAGGCCTTTCCTCCCCTTTTGCGATTCGGCAACGGAACCGGGGCCCGGAGCGGGCTCGCTGGCATATCGTGGTCCTGCCGGGCGACCGTTGGAACCTCCGGGTACGTGCTGCAGGTCCGTCGGGGCGACAAATGACGAAGATTTGGCTGGCTTGGTCGCCGTGATCGCCGGGCGGGCAGCGAAACCCGTGTTGATGGGCGACGGTGGGGGCTTCCCTCTCGAGAGCTGACTTTCGGGCAGCTGGCCGGCGGCCATTGCAGGATTGTGCCTCGCGGCCTGGTCTTCTTGCCTGTAAGTCTGCAGGGCTATACCGCCAATGAAGCCTGTGTTGCTGTCCTCGTCAGAGGGAAGGCGAACGAGATGGCCACGCGAGCCATTGTTTGCGACTGGGGCGTCATCTCGCATGGCGAACGAGTGCTCGGAGCCGGTGGATGCAACGCGTGTGATCGGGGGCAGCATCGGTGGCATCTGGGAAGAATTTGACGACTGCGGACGTGCATCAGAGCGCTGTGAGACATCTCGAGCTGAATCAGGGCGTTCGTGGCGCGTGGGGGCGTCGTCGGCGGGGTCCGGCTCGGGCAGAGGAGATGTTGGGTTCGACGGGGCACGTCGATGGAAGCGGAGGTGCGACAGCATCTCGTGGGCTGTACAGTAGTCAATCCTGATCACAAGGTACGCAATACGAGGCTTGGACCGAACAGGGCCCAGATCGGGAGCACAAGCCGAAGACGCATCGGGGCGCGGGGTTTATACGCGATCCCCATTCGAGAGTGACTCGCTCGAGGTCGTTGCTGGTATTTGTCTCCTGGAGTTCTGGTTAGAGCAAAAGCAAATGCATAGACCGTATGTATGTATATAAATCCGGGAAAAGCGATTGCGAAGACCGGAGAACGAGGGACGAGGGCTTCTGGACAGTTCGTCCGAAAATGTGAAAACGAGAAAATGAACGGATGGATCGCAATGACCAACAGTTGATGTCAAATTGTCCAGGCCCAGGCTCGGCGTGTGGGGCGCCATGCGGTTTCTGAGCCAACCACACGTTGCCGCTTCGGGCCGTGGGCACCACTGTCACGCCAACGTTGACATGAAGGCACGCCCGGCCTTTCTTCGACTGCAGTGGATCCTGGATGCCCACGAGTCAACGACAATGCTCAGACTCACTCGCCTTCAGCACACACCAGGGTAAACAGTCCGTCCGTATGGCGCATAGCAATGTAAAAGTTTATTTCTGCATTGCAATTGTGCTAACTATAGAGGATGCCTGTGAACGAACCTCACATATCCCGTTTTGATACCATAGCTGCTCCCCAGGTGAGTTCAGATCCAGCGTACGTTTCTCTCCCTTGCTTTTGCTGTCTTCCGATGAATGCCCACAACGGAGGAAAGTCCAACTCGGCCTTACTACTTACTTCGCGCCAGTATAACCCCCCCCACCCCCCCTTCCTTCTCTCTCCCTCTCCGAAGGTCAGATCTCAATGCTCACGCTCGTCAGTCTGCCCTTGGCGAAGACGTTGATATCGGATTTTGCCTATCCACGTACGTCTATCGCTGGCGAGGAGTATCACTCCCATTGAGGTTCTTGCAATCGCATCGGCAAGGGACCAAGCGAGACCTCGATCGCACCTTAGCTTTGGTCAACCACCTCACTGCAGCATCCCACCTCAAAGTTCTTCAAAAGACACCCTCAAACCCCTTCCCCTCGTCCACCGCCCTTCTCACCATCTCCGCCCCCTTCTTCGTATCCCCCGCGGCGATGTACAACCTACCCAAAACCTCGTAGTGCGCGCCGAGGTGCGGGACCAGGCCTTCCTCGCGCACCGCGTCCGCCACTTCGCTGTACAGTTCCGCCGCCCGCTTCATGCTCGCCGCGCTCCCTTTCTCCACCAGCCCGAGCACCTGCTGGCCTAAGTCTGCAATCATCTTGCGGCGCGCATCCGACGCGGCCAGCTCGTTCGGCGGCGAGGCGCAGAGGGAACATGCGCACTCAAACCCCCAGTTTTGCCGCAGCAGGGCTTGTCGGCTTGTGGAGGGCAGACCGAAGGGTGTGTCTGTGTCTCAGTTGTAGGCGGGAATGGGGAGGAAGTAAAGTGTTGAAGGGGACGTACAGCTGATGGTGATCTCTTCGCCAGGGTGGATGTCATGGAAGGCGGTTACTGTGTTGGAGAGGGTGGTGGCGTTGAACCGGGTAAGGGCGCTAGCAAATGAGGACTGGTTACTAACAGGGATACCAGGTGATGTACTAGGAGCTGCTTGGAGGAACATGAGTGGAGGTAAGGGGCTCCTGACCTTGGTTTGCATGCGTGGTTCATTCTCTGCGAGGAGCAATGTCAGTCGCTGTGCTTCTTATCGGTAGGGCTCTGACCATTGTGAACTTTGCACCCGCACGGTTTAACAGCCCGCTTACCGCAATCTCGGGAAACAGTGCCATGTATCCCTTTCCCCCAATGTCTACTTGGAATGAGTTTGTTTTGATGACATCCTCAGCAGCCGGGACATTATCGGGATCCAAGCTGCTACGGGCCAGATCCAGTATCTTTCTCGCGGCTGGCAACCGCTCGATTGCTTCTCTCAACAATTGGCGGCCCTGGTCACGCTTGATTCGGCTCGGCATCTGGGTGTCAACCAAGACCGCCGCGTAGTCCAGCATGAAGACTTCCCCTCGGGAGATTTTGCGTGTTGCGACGACGCCCTTCCCTTTGCCAGGGATATCTTGAACTTGGTATGGCGGTGATTCATTTCCAACTTCAGGGGCGCCGCTCGATACCACATGCAGGCTTGCAGTTGAAGCCAATACAGCGGTAGCTTGTGAGGAATTCGCTTCGATTATGCTCACACCGCGATTGGGCCCCTGGAATTTGGCGTTCGTAAAGACGCAGTAGCTGGTGGCTTCTATACAATAAGGGTCATGCGTCCAAGGGTTTGAGAATATCTTTTCTTCGTCGTTGATGGCAGAACCGGTGCAAGGGGAGTAACCGTCGAGGTTGAGCGGCCCAAGTAGACATTCTGTGTTCACTGTGGATTGTCCACGCGTCTCCGATCTCTGCTCTGGCGGTCCAAGGGTTATAGCGGTAGTGGGAACGAGGAAAGGATGTCCTACAAGCAACAACAAAAGTCTGAGAATGTACGCTGACGCCATTTCCGCCAGTACAGTTCAGTTGCGACACACCGAGAAGAAGTATGCCAGATTAAGGGATACCGTCACAAGTCATAGGTAAGGAGAACAAACTGTGTTTCTCCAACTCATATCTGGCCTGACGTCTTGGAGCAGTCACCGCCCCAGAGACGGCCCGACCGCCGAGTCCGTCATCGTCTGAGGTTGACAGTTGCCAATGCGGATTTAATGAACAACCGTGCTTGGTTGCGCGCTGATCGCCAATACAGAGTTTGGTTCCGGCACTCGGAAGAAGCGGTTCCTGCGCCAAGGTCTGGGCAGGTGCTTGGTAAGGCGGAGAGCAAGACGCAAACAATCATGAATGTTGGCAAATTGTGAAAAGCTTGGCCTACTACTAGTAGAGAGAAGTTGTTGGGCGAGGCAACAGTACACTGTCTGTACGTTGACAACTAGTATCGAACCTGCATTCACACCACCATGATGATGATCCGTGGCCCGGGTAGCCGATAGGATCAATGGAGGCTGAGTGCATGTGTCAGGGCGATACACTGCGAGCCACTAGGTGTTGGATACCTACCTACCTGACTGAACAAGAGATTCTCTTGGTCCTCAGGGACGGATTGTTTGAGGGCACTATCTGACAGCCCGGCTCATCAGGAGATTGTAAAGAGACCCTTCAGTTATCTAATTCTAGGTTGCAGTGCGGTGGCAGCACATGGCAGCTCAGGGTTCCTTAGCCATGACTCGACCTTGGATTGACAGGGTCCAAGTTGGTTTACTGCCAGCTCCGAGTCATCAAAGAGATTACAGTAGAAGCTAGAAACAGTCAGACCTCAATCCCTCTCAGCCTTCATTCTGCCGATGTGTGATGGGCCCCGAGCAGCATTCCTGAACCGACTTCGTGCAAGTGATATACAAAACGGGCTTCATATATGTACAATACATACCTAAACGGGCTTGTATGCAAATAATGCAATATAAACCAAATTCTGTGTCCCTGTGAGCACATACGACCATACCTACTGGAAAGCTCGGGATCCCGTCCGCTCTCCCCTAGATAAACCAGGAAGGGTATTGTTATCTAAAGGGGAAGTTAAAACGCTACGAAATGGTACCTTATCAACTCTACCGTTCATTGTTAAAGATGTCCGTCTCGCCGTCCGCGAAGGTGGTATAGGGTGCCGCTAGTGTCTTAAGGCTATACGCTGTACTAAAAAGCTGGGATCTCCCTCCTAACCCGTGCCGCGAGGCTTGTCTACAACTCGAAGTTGCTGTGCCGTACACCGCGAAGCCCCAACTCTAAGATGTCTCTTAAACGCTGTGCTGTTGTCCTTGATAAGCCTATAGTCGACTTGCGAGATTGTAGTGAGCGACAACGAAGAGCCGATGAAGATGATGAACTGCTTGTGGAATCATATCGACAATAGGTATGCCGAGTTATATAAGAAGAGCGGTTCCGGGTATAGCAGTCAATGCGCCTGTAAGATTTATGAATGTCGATTAGGTAAGGAGCTGTAGTTGCTAACAATGTGTTGCAACCACGTTCTGCTTCCGTGTTACGATAAGAGAGGACTGGCCACTTTGCGGTGACGTCGAATGCTGACCGTGCATGTCCCTGACCATACCTGCCGCATAGCGTCACGCGTAAGCAAGCCGATCTGTTATATGGTCTTACCATGTTCGGAAGCCTGACATCACCCCAGTCGCGGCTCCTCGTCGTTGTGGAAACAGCTTCAGGCATCGCCCATAAACGCCCCTTGCAGCATTTGGCGTGTGTCCCCCAGAGTGCCCAACAATGGCAATGAATTCACAGCCGTCTACAGGTCACAAGTAAGCTTGTGAGTTGTGACTGCCAACTTGCAACCCACAGGGGGCTGATCATGTTCCCGCACAGCTACCGTCTGGATCTAGCATACAAGGAAGTCGTTAGGGACTGGCAGCGGAGCGCGCTGGAGGGATACAAATGCGCCTTCTGTCGCCACGAGCTCTGCTTTATCGGCAACGGTTGCGGCCACATAATAGAGGCTGTTTACAACGGCCCGACGGTGACGCATATCCCATCCAGCTCGGCAGAATTCGTTCTCCCGTTTCTGGAGTAACACAGCTTGATTGCTACCTCTGAGATTTGGATTAACACCAAGAAGAATATCTAGGTCCTCCCCTGAATCCTTACTACAGCGACCAATTCCTCTTCACCGCTCCACGGATTTTCCTGCTCATTCCGCTTCTAAGCAGCCCGCAAGCTCGCCATGGGGGCAGATTCTCGCAGCGCGATCCCATGTGAGCTAATCACGTTTGAACTGGGCCACCGCCCCCCGAGTCAGTGCTTGCAAGTTCCTCCTGACGGAAGCATGCCACTCAGACCCCCGGGAACCAGCTTGTGCAGAATGCTAGCAGGGTCATACTTTCTGCGCAGACGTTTAAGTTTGGCAACATTTTTGGCCCCGTAAGAACTGAGGACGTCCTGATCCGCCGCTGCATAATTGGCATAGCTTCAACGCCGCGTCAACCTCAAGCCAAGCTTTGATGGTAACAACAGGTGGCAAAACTTACATGTATGGCAGGTGCACGCCAAGCTCCTTTGCTAGCGCCTCTCCCCTCTCCACAACTCGTCGCCCAGCAGTGTATGCTGCCTCATCGTAAGAAGCGTCAGACCAACTGTTGGCCATGGCAAAAACTGCGACGTCACGTTAGTCAAACTGATTGCCCTCGAAGTGCCGAATTTGACGTACAAACCACGGAACCAAAGCCTTCGAGGCCGAGGATGTTGCCGCCCATTTTCACACCTTGCTCAAGGGCATTGTTGGTGACCAGCTGCCATTCGACAATGCCGGCAAAGCCCTCCATGTCAAGCAGTGCCGCAAACTCCTCCTCGAATATCTTCTTTATACCCTTCATCATGTTCGCATTGCTTTGAAACGTCATCGTCCTGAGGTCGTACCGGAGAGCCGGCAGTTTAGGTCCAGACGCGCGCTCGCTCATCGTCCCCCACTTCTCTGAAACATTCGTGTATGGAAACCCATCGAAGCCGTCCAGCGGGTGAGGAAGCCTGAGGTCCGTCGTGTCGGGATCTGTGACCCAGGTACGTTCCTCTTCCGCCATTGAAAGGAACCCTACTTCGATGAAGGGGTCTCCGAAGATCGCTGCCCAGTATGTGATGAGCGACAACTCGAGGTCTTCCGCTCCTTCAGCCGTTGAGCCCATCCGAGCAAAGTTGTCATATTCATCGGCGATGCGGTCGAAATACGTCATGTTGAGTCGTGCTGAGACGCTGTGTAGCTTCGGCGAGGGGTATGTGTAGAGGTCGAATCGAGTCACGACGCCGAATATGTTCTGACCCCCCTTCATGGCCTCGAATAAATCGGCGTGGGAGCTCGCATTGACTTCAAGGATCTGGCCTTTTGCAGTCACAACCTAGAGAAGGTAAGCAAGACCGCCTTATCCCGCCGAGAATTGTCCTAATTCTTCACGGTACCTGAAACCCCTTCACGTTATCACAGGCGAGTCCATGCTTTGGAGTGAAGTGCGAAACACCACCTCCGAGAACAAGCCCGGCCATGCCAACGCTTGCACTGCGGCCGCCGATCGCAACAAGGTTGTAAGGCGCAAGGAATTCATAGACAGAACCCCATCGCAATCCAGACCCAAAACTGGCATAACCATCGTGAATGGACTTGGACGACAAATTGGTGGTTGCAAGCAGAACCCCGTCATCGATGTTGGCCCAACCTTGGCTGGGAGAGTGGCCTCCGGAACGGATTGCGAATGTGCAGTTTTTTTGCTCGAAGAACTTTACGGCCTGTGAAACGAGCTCTGCCGACGAAGGGGTGAAGACACACGAAGGGGTGAGCCGCGCCGTCGTAGCTATCGGTGATGCAGATTAGCGATTTCGTACCGAAAGCCGTCATTCGTGGATCCAAGTGGACAACGTCCTAGAAGGAATCCGGAGCAAAGACATACACCAGTAGCTCTGTGATGCTTCTTCCAGATACCTCGGCGTACCGGGCTGGAAAACAAGGTCCGGATGCTGCGATTCCAGCAATGAGCACTGTAGTCGAAGAATCGGTTAGCTGATGGGCCTGGTCTGACACGGGGAGCGCGAATGCCTACACATTGGTTTGCGGATCCGCAGAGACTCAACCCCAAAATAAGAGCGGTGAGAAACAATCTCGACATTCTTAAGCGTTCTCGTGATGAAGTCTTTGAACCCAGCTGGTGCGCGGCGTGACAAGACGATTGTTCTTGAACTCCACCGCCGTGGAAGAAGGTCGCCCATCAGTAATTATATAAGCACGCTTCCGAGCCCCTTGCTGGAAAACAATCGCTCAGCAACGTAGAACGACCCGGTCCTGTTGCAGCTTGCGAACCCGAGTACGCGCAGACTTGTGTTGTAAGCCCATCCTTATCTTCATTTCGTTGCCGTACACTGGCCCCAACGAAGACGGGATTGGGCACGGAGCCCCCGGAATGGTTCAGCGAATACACGAGTCGATGTGGAGCTTGGTTGGGAATATTGAGTCGTTTACGTTTAGACCTCCGAGAACTCGTTTGCGAGATCAAGATATTCTCCCAAGAGGCTATCTAGCAAGGTTTACGCTGCAATAGTGACGGGAAATACGGGTAAATATTTCTTGTGTAAGTGACGACGATTGTACGCAGTGGGAGCAAGGATTCGAGTCTCTCAAGGCTGGTATATATGGAATTCAATTATGGGGCTGTTTCTGAGATTCTGTTCCTTCGGGCACGCTCAATGAGATATAGGTGGAATCTGTGGGAGAGGGATGAGGTGCTGGCTTCTCATGCTAGTCGATTACCTAATTATGGATCACGGAGTACAAATATGTCTGGCCAATTGGAGATGACCGGTGATTGTCTCTTCTACAATACAACCCTTGTTTGTTTGTTAGCGCGGAACTCAGGACAGGGTCCCGGTCCAAATTTCAAAAAGATGCATCTCAACAGCTATAAGGAGTATGTCAACGAAGAAAAATAAAGTATCTAGCAATGTTCAGAATGTTCCATTTCAACTGTCTGTTCATCTGTGCAGAAAGTGGCTATTTTGCTGTTGAGATTTGAAGTTTGGGTTTGAGCCCTGTCCACAAGTCAGGCGCTAGCGAACAAACAAGGGGGGTATTGTAGCTTGGTGGATACTCGGACTCGTGTCGTTTGTTCGCATTCGTTTACGCTTACGTTTACGTTTGTGAAACTCGGCTCCGGTCCGGTGTCGATTCGCAAATGGAAAGAAAGAGTTCTTGTCAATGAAGGGGCACAGCATCGGATTTCGGCACCGGCTCGGACCGCTCGGTATCCGTCACCTTCAAACTAGAAATCGTACCAAGACGTTGCGAATTCTCAAAATAGAGACCGCTACTGGACCCTCTTTCGCGTTGCCCTCTCTCAACATCCCGAGTACGATGAGCGAGATTTCTGAGCGACAAACCCATGGCACCTTCTCGGAAAGAGCACAAGAAATCTCGCAATGGCTGTATGCTATGCAAGTCTAGACGCATCAAGGTCTGCCACCCCTCCCCTCTTCCGCCAATTTGTGAAAATGCAGGCTGCGGTTTGAGCGGTTGAATACTGACAGCGTACTTTGCAGTGTGACGAAGGGAGGCCATCGTGTGCGAACTGCCTACGACGCCAGCGACCGTGCAGCTACGCACCGCCGCCATCAGTGGAGCATGACCAACCCCTACGGTCACAACTACTCTGGCCCCATTCTCCTCCATCGGATTCGCAACCATGCCCGCGAACTCACCAGTACCGTGGCATGTCAAGATCGCAGGAGCTCTACTTGATGCATCATTACACCTCTGTCACGTGGGCCACCTTGGCTAATCTGGACTCACCCGAGGAGGTCGAGCTCTGGAAGCAATTGATACCGAGGGAAGGCATGAAGCACGAGTTTCTTATCGACAGCCTATTAGGGTTGTCCTCCCTGCATCTTGCACATCTAGACCCTTCTTCGGCTCAATTCTACACATCCACCGGCGTGGCGTACCAGAATCATGGCTTAGCGGGCTTTAAATCAACCTTGAGCTGCATGGACAGCGAAAATTCCACCGCACTTTTCGCTTTCTCGATCATTACCATCATCCTAGCTTTGGCAGTCTCGGTGACGACTCCGGAGGCTCCTGAGTCCACCCCATCAGAGGCTCTACAATCGGTTGTCGAGCTACTCAGAGGCGTTGCTGTCATCATCGACACATCGCAGGAGGGTATTCGCTCCGGCATATTCGGGGTACTACTCGAGCCTGAGAGAGGGCCAACTTCGAATCACGATTTCCTACAACGGGAGGAGCTCGAAAGCGCAATGGCACGCTTGGTCCACAGGTCTGACCAACTGTCGAAATACGTCGGGCCGCTGCAGCAGCAGTTGTACATTTCTTGCATTCACAGCCTTCAAAATGCCTTTGATCATGTGATGGCATATCACAACATCTCCATGGTTCTGGCCTGGCCAGTAACCATAAGCAAGAAGCTGATGGAGCGGTTTCAGCAAAAGGACCCGATGGCACAGCTGATTTGGATGCACTATGGGGTGCTGCTTCTGGCCATTAACAATCGATGGTGGGGGAAGGGGTTTGGTGCACGCCTGATAGACAATGTTTCCGAAACGCTTCACGCTATTGACGAGGAGTGGACTATCTACACGCAATGGGCACGAGACTGCGCCAAAGCGGTGATGGAACAGGTCTAGCCTGGCTGCAATTTATTTTCAACGAAAGTGTCTAGCCTTATGCCTCGGGAGGGATTGTTTTCGCCAGTGGAATGCGAGAAAAAGCAGCGTGAGCTTCGAGAGTATGTCGAATATCAAGCCTTTTATTTATCTGATACGTCAATGGATGCAGTGCACACACACTTTCACCGAGAGAGAACGGTCTCAGTCGGGCGACTTGGTAACCCAATCAACACTGGGCCGGCCCGCAGGAGTTCGAACCTGGTAGGCTTCTGCCCAACACCCGACCTTGCTGCATTGTACATGCCTATGCTCGCTCAGATAGGTTTGCATTGAGCAGCCTGTGGGGGGGTTCGATGTGGCTGCCTTGGTCTGGTCCCGGCCTACGTGGCGGCACGCTTGTCAACCAAGGCGAGAAGGGCGGTTTACTCGGGCAGATATTGGGACTCTGCGACCTGAGCGTGCATGGCTCCGGCTCACCCGCCAATGGGGGTGAACCGGGTGAGCCGGGTGAGCTAGGGTGAGCACTCGCTGCTTTTGTCGCACGACCCCAAGAAGCTTAAATCCAGCGGTGTTGCTAGTGCAGGTATGTACCTAAATCTCCCATCCCCTGGCAGGCGAGTGCGCTAACATGCCTACATAGGCGAAAGTCGCGACACTGTTCCCGACGATAGCGATGTATTAGAGCCTTCGGTTACCAGTGGGCCTGGCCTAGACAACGGGTTTGTAAACGAGTAGCAATAGAGAGGTAGCCAAGGGCCTTCTCTAGAGACGTTGTCTAGCTCTCCCTAGCCGTTGCAAAAGCA